GTTTGTAACTGAGAGTGTGTGTTTATAACTGAACTGAGAGTGTGTGTTTATAACTGAGAGTGTGTGTTTATAACTGAGAGTGTGTGTTTATAAATGAGAGAGTGTGTTTGAGAGTGTGTGTTTATAACTGAGAGTGTGTTTATAACTGAGAGTGTGTGTTTATAACTGAGAGTGTGTTGATAACTGAGAGTGTGTGTTTATAACTGAGAGTGTGTGTTTATAACTGAGAGTGTGTGTTTATAACTGAGAGTGTGTGTTTATAACTGAGAGTGTGTGTTTATAACTGAGAGTGTGTTTTTATAACTGAGTGTGTGTGTTTATAACTGTGTGTGTGTGTGTTTATAACTGAGAGAGTGTGTGTTTATAACTGAGTGTGTGTGTGTGTTTATAACTGAGAGTGTGTGTGTTTATAACTGAGTGTGTGTGTTTAAAACTGAGAGTGTGTGCTTATAACTGAGAGTGTGTGTTTATAACTGAGAGAGTGTGTGTTTATAACTGAGAGAGTGTGTGTTTATAACTGAGAGAGTGTGTGTTTATAACTGAGAGTGTGTGTTTATAACTGAGAGTGTGTGTTTATAACTGAGAGTGTGTGTTTATAACTGAGTGTGTGTGTTTATAACTGAGAGTGTGTGTTTATAACTGAGAGTGTGTTTATAACTGAGTGTGTGTGTGTGTTTATAATTGAGAGAGTGTGTGTTTATAACTGAGAGTGTGTGTTTATAACTGAGTGTGTGTGTGTTTATAACTGAGAGTGTGTTTATAACTGAGAGAGTGTGTGTGTTTATAACTGAGAGTGTGTGTTTATAACTGAGAGAGTGTGTGTTTATAACTGAGTGTGTGTGTTTATAACTGAGTGTGTGTGTTTATAACTGAGTGTGTGTGTGTGTTTATAACTGAGTGTGTGTTTATAACTGAGTGTGTGTTTATAACTGAGAGAGTGTGTGTGTTTATAACTGAGAGAGTGTGTGTGTTTATAACTGAGAGTGTGTTTTTATAACAGAGAGTGTGTGTTTATAACTGAGTGTGTGTTTATAACTGAGTGTGTGTGTTTATAACTGAGTGTGTGTGTGTTTATAACTGAGTGTGTGTGTTTATAACTGAGTGTGTGTGTTTATAACTGAGAGTGTGTGTTTATAACTGAGAGTGTGTGTTTATAACTGAGAGTGTGTGTTTATAACTGAGTGTGTGTGTTTATAACTGAGAGTGTGTGTTTATAACTGAGTGTGTGTGTTTATAACTGAGAGTGTGTGTTTATAACTGAGTGTGTGTGTGTTTATAACTGAGAGAGTGTGTGTGTTTATAACTGAGAGTGTGTCTTTATAACTGAGAGAGTGTGTGTTTATAACT